GGTTGTTAACCAATGTCATAAAACAAAATGTGTACTACTGTTTCATGAGAAACTATTTGTTCTGTAAGCCTTCACCTGAGGTACAATAAAAAAAAAAAAAGAAAAAAAATAAATTTAGTAGTAACGCATGGGCAGCTATTGAGGTCAGATACAGCCTGTAGTGTTAATCTTCAAGTGGTTGGACATCTAGGTAGTTTACAGTTTTTATTGTTATTGTTTAGCTGAACATCCACCCTGGGGAGCTCCATCTTGACTGTAATAGATAACTTTTTATTTTATCATTTTCGTTTTTTTTAATGTCTTCAGACATATTGTTTGCCCTTTTAAAATAATTGTTGACAGGTTGTACATTTTCCATATAATGATCAATAATCTATTTCCTCATGAGCAAAATATCTATTTCCTTGGATCATATATCTAATTAGGCTTCAAATATTTTTATAATATGATGATAGGTGATTATGAAATGCAAGGTGTAACTAGTAACATCCTTTAAACTTTATTTGAATTTTTTTGAAAAAGGAGGAAAGTTAGTGTTGGGTAACGTTATAATAAAGAGAAAAATCATTCATCATTGAAAGATGAAACTTAAAACTACATGGTAGTAGACACATTTTTGCAAGAGTATTGCCAAGATGCCACCCCTTTCAGGATTCTGTTGCCTGCCTACTCATGTGAGCCCATGGTCAGTTACTTTAATAGCTCCCTTTCTGATAGCCTATTAACTCTTCTTTTTGTCCTTCAGTCAAATTCTAGGCAGTCATTGCAGTCTATTGTATCTTTATTTGAGCTGTCAAATAATTTTTAGGAAATGCATGCAGAAACGTATGACTGAATTTGCTGTAAATTTAGTCACATAGTCTCAGCTGGGGCCTCACTGTCATTCAATAATACAGTGTTCCACTTAACTCTTTTTTTTCTTTTAATTTTTTTAATTGTTCTTTAAGTGAAAGTTTACAGTTCAGCTTAGTTGTGTGACCTCGTTGTTATGTGACTTCAGTTGCTCTCCCTATAATGTGACAGCACACTCCTCCTTTCCACTGTGGATTTCCCATGTCCATTTGACCAACTCCTGTCCCTTTTTGCCTTCTCATCTTGCCTCTGGACAGGAGCTGCCCATTTAGTCTCATGTATCTACTTGAGCTAAGAAGCACTTTCTTCACGAGTATCATTGCATGTCTTATAGTCTAGTCTAATCTATGTCTGAAGAGTTGGCTTTGGGAATGGTTTTAGTTCCGGGCTAACACACAGGCTGGGGGCCATGTCTTCCAGGGTCCCTCCAGTCTCAGTCAGACCATTAAGTCTAGTCTATTTACTAGAATTTGAGTTCAGCACCCTACTTTTCTCCTGCTCCATCAGGGACTCTCTGTTGTGTTCCCTGTCAGAGTGGTCAGTGGTCATTGGTGGTAGCTGGGAACCATCTAGTTCTGGTCTCAGGCTGGTGGAGTCTCTGGTTTATGTGGTCCTTTCTGTCTCTTGGGCTGGTATTTTCCTTGTGTCTTTGGCGTTCTTCATTCTCCTTTGCTCCAACTGATGCATCTTAGATGGCTGCTTGCTAGCTTTTTAGACCCCAGACACCACTCCAAAATGGGATGCAGCGTTTTCTTAATAAACTTTGTTATGTCAATTGACCTAGATGTCGCTTGAAACCATGGTCCCCAGACCCTCACCCCTGCTCCTCTGTCCCTTGAAGTGTTTGGTTGTATTCAGGAAACTTCGTAGCTTTTGATTTAGTCCGGTTGTGCTGACTTCACCTGTATTGTGTGTTGTCCTTCCCTTCACCTAACAATTCTTATCTACTATCTAGTTAGTGGAAACCCTGGTGGCGTAGTGCTTAAGAGCTATGGCTACTAACAAAAAGGTCGGCTGTTCAAATCCAACAGGTGCTCCTTAGAAACCCTATGAGGCAGTTCTACTCTGTCCTTTAGGGTTGCTATTGGTCGGAATCTATGCAACAGCAACGGGTTTGGTTTGGTTTATGTAGTTAGTGAATACCCCTCTCCCTCCCTCACCACTCTCATAACCAATAAAGAATGTATTCTTCTGTGTTTAAACCTTTTCTTGAGTTCTTATAATAGTGGTCTCATATAATATTTGTCCTTTTGCAACTGACTAATTTCACTCAGCATAATGCCTTCCAGATTCATCCATATTATGAGATGTTTCCCAGATTCATCGTTGTTCTTTATTGTTGAGTAGTATTCCATTGTGTGAATATACTATAATTTGTTTATCTGTTC